GTGTGTGTGTGTGTGTGTGTGTGTGTGTGTGTGTGTGTGTGTATCGTGTATCCTATACACGAGATGAGAAAGAATTGGTGGGCCAGAACCAACGTATTGAGAGAACGGATAGGGAGAGGGGATGTCCTTAAGCCAAACATAGACTTGGGTGACTAGGCAGATAGGGTCACAGCACAGACCATCAGCAGAGGAAGCAACAGTGTACACAGATGACGGAAGTCACAGCCACTCATAGACACAGCACCAGGAGTGAGCCACGCACAAACTTACGGGAACACAAACGGCTCAAGCTAAGGGACAGCATGGCTTGCAGCGGACAGGATAACATGCACACACAACACAATCACCCTCAATGCCAAGTGGCGTTACAGCTGTACAGAGACGCGTATCAGCTTAAGCCGTAGCCATCCAAGCTCCTATAGCTGTCCTGGGACACAAACTGAATCAAATTACATGGGACCTTCTATTATCGGCTAAATGCCTACAAACCCAAGGACAGATGTCACACACGTCTGTGGAAATTGTAGCTACAACTGGAACCGCTAAAGGTGCCTCGGGCATTAGGACCTTTGGAAACCACGCTGGGCATAGCTGCTCATGCCTGTGATCTCAGCAATTGGGAGGCGAGGCAGGAGGGTTAGGAGTTCAAAGGCCAACCTTGGATAAGGAGAGACCCTGTCCAAAAAAATCTAAAACAAACCTAGTGTGGTGGTGCACACCCTTTAGACTCAGCACTCAGGAGACAGCGGTAGAGGCAGAAGCTGGTGAATCACTTTGAGTTCAAGGCCAGCCAAAGATACCTAGACTCTATCTTAAAAAGAAATAAATGGATTGATAAAGGTGGTTCCTATAGCTTATCGTGTCCGGATTTCAATAGCCACATCAAAGCAGCAACCACACTAGATACATTCACTCGGGTGAACAAAGCCGCCTTCATGAGGCCCAGCGCACATAGACGCCAGAGGTCTCATCCCCCACACAGGACCGTGCCCTCACTCCCCAGCTAGGCAGCAGGACTTTAGGCTGGGAAACTAGAGGCTTAGGCCCAAGGGGCCTCTGACCCCTGACAGCTGGGTCTCCATCATGACCAGATATGTTTTGTACCACTGTGCCATGAGCTCTGGCCTTCCCTCAGAGACCTCTGTTGTTCTCAGCCCACCATGCTGAGCCTAGGTGGTCAATTCGCTGACCCAGAAGCCTGCAGTGTAGCCCAGGGAGGCCCGGCTGGCCCTAAGCCCAGAAGCCCTTCTGGTCCCCAGGGGAAGGGGCCCGCCCCGGCAGGCTCCCCTCCCCCACACCCACGGCTAAGTAAGACTTTCCCTTGAAAGGGCAGAAGCCAACCTGAATCCCAGAATCTGACATTCCGAGACTCGACCAGGCCTGCTTTGCCGAGTAGGAATTGCAGCCAAGGAGAGAGCCCAGTGCCAGCCCCAAGGTCTCCGAGGCCCAGCCAAGGGTGCAGGCATCGGGCTGGTACCAGGGCCTGGGCCTCCTTCCACCCAGCTGTCACCCCACTCCACCCCCCAACACCACCCAGATGTCTGTCTCAGTGGTGCTGTCCCTGCCTGCCCCATTATTGCTGCAGGCCCAGCCAGCTGGGCCTCGCTCGGGTTGATGGAGTGTGTACCTCCAGAGCCCTGGACAAAAGGCTGTGGAGGGGGGACGGGGAGACATGGGCCCTGACCAGCCCGCTCTCCCTGACCTTAGGAGTCAGATATGCCAGATGAGGTCAACATTGATGAGCTGTTGGAATTGGACAGTGAAGAGGAGAGAAGTCGGAAAATCCAGGTACGTGGGGAGAGAGGAGAAAGCCGCCCCTCCCCCACCCCAGTCCAACATCTTGCAGGGCCCTGAACGGAATAGCCCAAGTTGACATGTTTATTAAACACTTCCTATGCCAGATACTAAATCCTCTGCAAAACACTACAAAGTAGACACGTTTACCACCATAAGGAAAATGAGGGCCGGAGAGGTTGAATCCTTTGCTCAGGGACACACAGCTCATCTTGACTAGAGCTGGGAGCCAAACCCAGACTGCCCTTTCCCCTCTGATCTCTCTGCAGAGGCCTGGCTTTCTGGCCTTCTGATCTGGTGGTGCAGCCCTGGCTTGGCTTGTGTGGCTGGGCTTGAAGCCACAGGGGCAGTTCTGACCGTCTTTTGTCTTGCTCCCTTGGGGAAGGGGAGGGCTCCAAGGAAATAGATGTGTCAGTCATTTACTATTTTTTTTTTGTCCCCACCCACCCCTCATAGGGACTCTTGGAGTCCTGCAGGAATCCCACGGAGGTGAGTTTCTATCCTTACAGGATTGGTCCCCTCACCTTTATGGAGGAGGCGGAGGCAGGCCTAGGGAACTCCTGGGAGCCCCCATCTCTGTCCTGTCTTTGTTATCACTGTCTGCTCCTCCTACCTCCCATCTGCCACCCGCTCCACAGGCAGCTGCCTCAGAGCCCCTCCCCCAGAGGCTCCGGTTTCTGCACATATGGTACCTGCCCCTTGCTGGTTGTCTTGGGGGGGGGGGGCTCACCCTCTGTCCATCTCTGTCCCCTGTGACTGCCTCTACCATCTACCATCCTGGGGTTCCCCATCTACCTCTTGGGGGCCTCCCATCCTGCAGGTCCTGGAGCTGGGCAGTCCAACCACTCCCATTTCCTTCCCTGCTTTAAAAGGGAAAATATTCATGGTTCTCCCCTCTGCTCTTAGCTGCCTGAGGGACACACGTCACTGCCTGTCAGTCTGCCTGGAGCTGGCTCAGACCTGGTCTCTGGGGACTGTTTCCCAGCATGAGAAACATCTTCTGTATGAGCCTGTGTCTGTCTGTAATTCTCTCTCAGCTCTGGGTTTTAGATTGTCTCTCCATGTCTCTCTATTTTTACTTCATTTTATGTGGATACGAGTTTTGCCTTCATGTATGTCCATGTACCACCACACGCATGCCTGGTGCCTATGGAGACTGGAAGAGGGTATTGGATGCCCTGGAACTGGAGTTACAGACGATTGTGAGCTGCCATGTGGGCGCTGGGAACTGAACCTGGGTCCTCTGGAAAAGCAACAAGTGCTGTTAACCACTGAGCCCTCTTACACACACACACACACACACACACACACACACACTTTTTCTTGAGATAGGGTCTCAGCATGTAAATTCATAGCAACAATTCTCCTGCCTCCGATGAGATTACTGGCCCGTACGCGCGTGTGCGCACACACACACACACACACACACACACACACACACACACACACTGTTCTCCTGTCTATCTTAGTCTCCCTCTTCTCTCCACTTGGCTCCAGCTCCTGCTTTGAAGAAGTTGATTCTGAAGAGGAGCTGGCATGGATGGGGTGGGAGGCCTGTCTCCTGCTTTGTTCTCAGAATCCTTCTCTGTCCTTAGGACTTCATCCAGGAGCTGCTGGCCAAGCTCCGGGGCTTACACAAGCAGCCGGGCTTCCCACAGCCCAGCCTCACAGATGACTGCAGCCTGAGCCCCCACCAGGACCGGGCCCACACCGCCCCACCCTGACCGACACCCACCTCTGTATTCCACCCCCAAAGCCCAGATTGTTTCTAAGTTGTATTTAATGGTTCTGTAACTGCCTCCAGTATCTGGCTTTTCCTCTCCCTGCCACTGGCCTTCTGCAGCCCCTGCCCTTGGTCCCCAAGCCACAGCTGGCCCTGACAGATGGAAAAACATTCCTCCTTGCCACAGAGCCTGAGAACATACCCTGCTGACCCCGAGGCGTCTTGGAGACTCACATCCTGTCCCCACCTCCCCCCCCAAAAAATAAATTCAGCCCCAACCAGGGCAGATCCCTGGACCACAGGACATGTGGTGATGCACACAGCCAGCTGTGACCTCTGTCATCTCCCCATAGGGCATCACACAGCCATGAGGCCATTAGTCCACTCCATGGGTGTTCTTTGGAGTTGAAGCCACAGGCCACCAATAAATGACATTCAAATGGGAGAGAAGGGCGTGGTGATTGGTGAGAGAGGGTGAGAGCAAGACCAAGGGTGGAAAGAGCCCTTAGCCCTTGGGGTTGAGAAGCAGAACAATAGGACAATAGAGGGCTTGCCCAGAAACCACCAGTGATAGCTAGGGGCCGTGGCTGGGCAGTAGAGCTCCTACTTAGCATAAAGTAGGCTCCATTCCCAGCAACACAAAGGAAAGAAAGGAAAGGAAAGAAATCCGGGAGGGCTTTCTGGAAGAAGCAGCATCAAGGCAACAAGAACTTCCACAGGCTGTTTCAACCGTATCTTCAGACTGAACTTGGAAGCAAAGTGGTTCCGGTTGGGGGTGATGTCAACTATTCATCAGGATGGGCATTTCCCTAGATCTAGGCAGAGAAGTCCAGTGCACAAGGATTATGGATGCCTTCCATACTGAGTTATAGGAGTCCTGGAGGGTCTCAGAAGTGGACAGTAGCCATTTAACACCAGCCTGTGTGTGATGAGGCAGAGTGGCTGCCACGGCTGAGGGCCTGCTCCCAAAGTCGGGATGTCTAGGAAAACATCTCACCATCTCTCTAGTGCCATTGCCCACCCCGCTGCCTCTCCAGGATCAGGGTTCGGTCCTGGATATCTGAGCCATAGACCAGCAGGCAAAGATTGGTTAGCATCTGGGACACCTTGGCGGTCCAGCCCTGCTA